GAGGATTATCTTCCCTTCCCAATTTCTTCTTCTTCTTCGTCTGCTCTCCTCTAAAGAAAACTTGACAAAAGTTCCATCCCATTTCTTATTATTTGGCATTAATGAAATATGAAAAGGCATTTTTGCCCCGCTGTTCCGACTTATTCCAATTGTGCCTGTCCTCGAATTTTTTTATTTGATTTGGTTTGATTGGAGAAATGAGATTGAACCGAGTTGAGTGACAATGAAACCCGGGATGGTGACAAGAAAGGACAACACAAGGGACTCTCCAGGAGGACACTCCTTGACTATGATTATCACTCATAATTCCAATCCTTTTATTCACCAGCAGCCCTTGGTTGTTATTCACTCTCAGCAGTTTTGTCTCTCTTTTCTCTCTCGATGTGTCGTTCTGACTCTGCTCCTGGATGCATAATAAATATTAGTCCGGGTCTGAAAAGGGTTAACGAGCTTTACTTTCCCAGGACCTTAATTGGCTTTAATCAAGACTAGTTGGATTGAGTTAGGCAACCACACCTGCCCTGGTAGCACGACTACCTGTGAGAGAGAGAGTGATTGACATACCTTTACTCTGTATTCTATTCATCATGATGTGGCTGGACATGAGAGAAATGGGCGGATCGGGACGACGACAACTTGTGATTATTATGTGCTAATGTGGATTATGTGCAATGTGTCGTGTCGGGTTGTTCGGTGGTTTGGTTGGGATGGGAAATGCATATGCGACGACGACGGATTTCCATAGTTGTTCGGGCCACTACTGTTTCGACATGACATCCAATCCACTCTGAATTATTTATCGATTTCCTCCATATTTACTCCTGCCACCTCCTCCGCCATCCATCCATCACTTCAGCCACGTATTCCCATTAATGTGATCTCTTTGTTTCATTCCTCCTCGGACACGTATGAATGTACGCATGGATATGCACACTCATGTCGAGGGGGACTCAGGACGACTAGTACTCTGGCATGCACTAAAAGCCAATTGTCGCAGATGACCCCGCTATACTGGCCAAAACCTAGTGAGACGCAATGTTATATCCACTTTCGCCATATATTTACAAGTACATGTTGGGGAACTATATACATACATAAGCCACATATTCATTTATGCATGGTTCTCATATATGTACATACCTACTGCACACAGGGAGACTCTCTATTCAACCGAAATTTTAAGTCCCGTGTGCATCCTACATAATAAATAGGTTCATTACTGGTCGCCTGCAAGAGATAAGCAGTATAAACCAACCAGTAGTCACAGTGTCCAGAAGGGATTGTGTCAATTTCTACAAAACTACAACCGTCACTCTCTGCCTCGTTCGCTAGCTTTCTATCTGGCTCACTGCGTACGGGAGGCTCGTCCAAAATTTAATATCAGTTTAATTAAATGAACTTCTGGAAAGTGCTTAGCATGCGAAATAAATTAAACAATCTCAGGTTATGTGTCCATGCATATTTGTATGTAAATACACCTCGACCTGGCCGGAAGATGAGGGTTTGACACCTATGAGAATTTCTCAAAAAGTTTCATCCATAACGAAAACCATAATTTAAGAGTGTGCCGTAGTGGAAGGAAGTTGTGGTGGTGGAGATAGCGCGTAGAGTGCAGGTTGGAGGATGGATGGATCAGATAGAGGCAGTTAAGTATCCTCCATATAATCAGCTACTACTCCACAATTTAGAAAATGACACTATTTTAATCAATGGTGGCCCTTTGTAGTGGTCTTGAGTACGCATCTTGAATTTAAAATTCAGCTGCTGCTGCTGCTGCTACACAGCTATAACGCTCCGAGGTTTGCTACACGGGACAGGAGAGCATCATAGCACCCGTTACATGCACCCTTGGCAGGACAGGGAGCAGAGAATGTAAATGCAAATGAGGTCCATTGAATGGGAGCATACGGAGTGGTGCATATGATTACAAAGAGTAAATCCAACTGATTATGATTATTTAGGGGAATGGACATTATCTATGCAAATGAGGGGAATTTATGCACACATGCAATGGCTCCAGATGCATCTCTCTCCTTTCAAATTTTAAAAATCTCATCTCACTCACACCCCGTCCGCACATATGTACGTACCAAGGACCAACTCACTAAAAAGTCTCCCTCAAAAATTCCCAAACTCGTTCTCTCGGAATTCACCGTTTTTCCACACCACTGAAAATAATCGTGCATGAATCTCAGCCACCACATCACCAGCAGCAGCAGCAGAAAGAGTCACTGGAAGAATTTATATTGGCGAAAGAAATTCAGCAGCAGCAGCAGCTTTCACTCACGGATGTGCATTTCGTGAGCACGATACGAATCGGCGTCTTCGTCGTCGTCGTCGTCGTCGTGATGGTCAGGTGTCCAATGAAAGGAATTTTCTCTCTCTCGCTCTTTCACTACGTACCTAAATACCTTCTGGTGGTGGAGAATCCCATTTTGGAGATAATGGGAAATGAAAATTTGGATTTGAAACGGAGTGAGCATTGTGCGGAGGAGGGAGGGAGGGAGATAAGACGGAGGAGAGGGAAGGGGAGCATTGTCCAGGGGAGACGTTGAGTGACGGGCTTGAAGGGAGGAAGGAAACGGCCAACGTCTTCGGACATCATTCCATCACTATCTCATTACATCTCACATGTCGACGTCCCCGGCGTCAGCACAAGGAAAGCTGTCCCGTATTTCTAGCAGAGCATCCGCCTTGCTCACCCTACGCCAAATACCAACTTTTCAATTTATACGTGTGGACATCATAGTGCATGCGAGAACCATGGACGTCGACATTGGGAGAGTTGAGCAGAGAAAACCCGAAGTTCGGTTGGTTGGTAGTCAATTTGAAAAAAATTCGGATGAAATGGAGGCATCATGAGATCACATTACACCCTTTTCGTCCATTTCAAATGAATACAACATCCACTGTTCGGTGCTTGTATGGGATACTACCATCCATCTATATGCAATCATGCCCCGTTAGTATTCGAATGGGAAGTGCTTCCTTTTGTTTGCTTTTACCCGAAACATGATTCCCAGAACATGAACGGAGTGCTTGTATTATTGTGTTTCAAATTCGTAAATATAATAAAATTTATAAAATGACTTTATACCTTCTTCGTTTTGTTCCGTATTGCTTCAAAGTAAAGAATGAATAACTCTAGTTTTTGCAGTGTTATCTGTGTCACCACGATGAATATTATTTAATAAAAAATTATACGAAATTATAAATTAAGTCGAAAAAATTAATGCCAGTCAAAATAACAATTTTGTAGAATATATACAAATTTTAAAATTGTTGAAAGGTTTATACTTATCCAGATATTTACATAGTGCATCTAGTAATTAATTTAAAATCAACAATGTCCAACAATTTTTTGTGTGCCGCAGCATGCAAAAATAGTTCCTTAAGAGACTATTTTTTAATAATAAGAATTTTATAAATAGTTATTTTTTTCCTTTTAGCCTTGCATGAAATAAAATATGATTCCACATTAATGAAAACTATATGACAATGCCAAACTTTTTGAGTCTATGGCTCTATTTCTTTTCAAAATGTTTGATGTAAAGAACTCAAATTTGTATGACAGTATTCTTCCATAGTTTCGAGTAACCTGTACATTTTGCAAAAAAAGGAATCCAATCTTAACTAATACTATTTACCGACATTTCTACCCTCATGATCCATTGTCGTATATATTGAACAGAGGTTTGTTTATCTGACCAAATCAATCGATATTGTACAGACAGTCAATAAGGGGGTTAGATTTTTTATGGACGACTGGCTGAGACGACTCTCACCGAATTGCATACCTCTTTACAAACATATTTATTTGTGTCACTCTCCCAATGACCACTCCAAACCCTATCTTTCCTCATCGACCACTTCAACGCCCAACTAATTGACTGATGTCGATCTTCCAGTATCAGCTCTTGATTATCCGCCAAGTGCAACTCACACTTGTAATGTTTTGTTGCGTCTCTTTTTTACTCGTAAATTTTTGAGTTATTTTTTTTTGTTTTTGGAACATCTTCTGAATCCGCATGAAAATTGAATGTACTTGCATGCAGAATCATTAATCGAGTTGATGATAGGTGTGGAAAGGCATTGGGACATGTATCGAGAGCAGCTGGCATGTTGCGGGAGGGAAACAGTGGGAAAAGGAGGAAAAGTAACCCGGGTGGGAGTGTCTATTGCAGAGGCCGAGCCAAACAAAACTCCCTGTCACTTACTGACCACATCAAAAACTCGTTTACCTCAAAACGCCATTTTTGCTCCCTTCCACTACCACTTCCTATTAGTACAAAACCAACCTTTCTAATTGCTCTGTTATCATTTCATGGCAGGAAAGTGTGTGACATGTTTGTCGTTTCTCTGCAAATTGATGCTTAATTGTAGAAATTATTACAATGTGTTAAAGATGAAATTTAATCAATCCAGACAAATTTGCTTGAAATGCTTAGAATGATTCGGGTGCAAAATGCAAGGTCCAAAAATTTTTTGGACGTACGTAAATAGTGTACTACAACTTATAGGTTATATCGCTTTCAGTACGCATCCTGCTGTTTCTTTGACCGATTGATGAACTTGTTCCAGGGGTGGAGTGGACATAAGTGTGCCCTCCACTCACTCAGCAATGACCAATTTATCTTGTCCAACCGGTTTCCTATATTTTTCTTGACAACCCAATCAGTCCTGTTGCTCTTTTCACCTCTTCTCAACCCGACCCCACTTTTACTGTCAGCCTCGTGCCAAGAAAAATCTATTTAAAAAATTAGACTGTATAATCAGTCACACCCTGACCAACGGTCAAATGGTATTTTTCCAAGAGAAAGTCAACCCTCTGTGACCACCAGCACGCCATGTGTATAAATCTACCCATCCATTATTCAAGGGTTGTGACCATGGGCGTCAGTCAGAATTAGATTGCCTTGCCATTTTCCTCCACCACTGTTTTCTCTGCTTGAATAATTTATGTATGTATGCAGTGCAGGTACGTATGTAGATCTGCTTACCTGGCATGTCGTAGTAGTTGCATAAGAGCCTTTAAATGTCAACTTTCGAGTGCACTTTGCCATTCTGACACACTTTCAATCAAAAAATATCACAGACACACAAATATCTTTACGGGTGATTTGCATCCTCGTCGGTTATGCAACCAACAAGGCAGCGTGAACTTTGTATATTTTTTGCCAACTTCACAGCACAGCGTGAGTCCAACTAAGGAAAGGGTTGGCTGGCTGTGTCGATATAATGGCCAGAGGTCCATGACAAAATCAGACGTAGGAACGGCACCATGTAAATTTATGTTAATGACGTCCAACAAAAAATTTCCATATCCGGCCGAGATTAAAATGCACTTATCAGTTTGGGGAGCGAGAGCGCGGTGAGTGAGTTAGTTGAAGTGTGACCTTAGAGACATTGCAGGGCCGACTGAACCCTTTCGATGGATAGGCACATTCGATCAGGCGAATTTATTTTGCGTTTTTTGTACTTTAAAATTAAACCCTTTGAGGATGATTCGATGGATCATATCCAATTTTTTTGTGACTGCATCATTTCGTTTCATTAGAATTTGTTGGGTGTTATGGGATCTGGTGGCTGGAATGCTTACGTGGAAAGGGTCGGTTGCTACATTTTTTTACTCCTTATAAAAGATGACCCTTGGTTGACACAGCAGGAGCAGACACCCAAATCCTCATCACCAAGGAGCCCTTGGTTCGTGAGAAAAGATTCTTCTACCTGAATTAATCAAATCCTTTCAGGTAACCCTTCCATTCAGCGAGATGTTCATTTGGCCCAATCGATACCTCATCTATTTCCCAATAATATATCTCCCCATTTTTATCTCTCTCTCTCTTCCCTAAGCGGATCACCCAGATCTCTACAAAAGCAGCAAAGCAAAGGAACTCTCTGCTAATGTGACTCAATCTCATCTCCGTCCAAAAATGCTGTTTCATCCGCATCCACACAAATGCCTTCGCACTACTCGGGCTTTCATTTCCTTAGATCTCTCATGCCATTCAGCAGACAAGGTTTGATCCCCCTTTTGAACGCAAAGTCATCAAAATTACTTTTTCACCCAAGACTTACTCCTGCTCAAGATAAGCCGGTAAAAGTGACCACGCAAGAATTTTATAATATTAAATATATGAGAGAGAGAGAGGAGGGAGATGCGGAATAACATTATTGCGTTCAGGTAACAGCTAATAATATCCGCGGAGAAAAAAGAAGCCACCTTTTTTTCATCTTTAGGCCAAGAATTTTCATTTGAGATTTTTATCAGGATTTTTATATGCACATACATAATGCAGGATGGTGACTAAAAGAAAATGTGCAAATTTGCAAATTTTTCCATCAGATTTCCTCTAATGCTAAACACTCAATCGGTGGTGCATAATAAATGTGGGATGCTGTGCTTGATGGTACGAAACAAGTAATTTTATTAATTTACTTATCCTTTAGGTTTTTAACTCACTGCAAGGAAAAGGAAGGAGAGAGGAGCCATAAATAATTTTCGCAGGAGTCGAGTTAGGAGATAATTGAGTTTGGTTTAAGGATAGATGTAGGAGGCAAAAGCCCGAGGGAAGCTAAGAAGGTGCTCATTTCGGCTTTTATGACTTATTTTACTCTTTACCTGACTACATGGAAAAGTGGGTTGTTTGGTTCTCCCATTAGTTGCACATGTTTACGCAGTCTACATCTACATCCAAACATGTACTTTATGCAAACTTGTCTAGGTCAGGTTTACTTCAAAGTGATTTCAGGTAAGGCAACCCGCGCGTAATCAAATTTGCAAAAGTTTTGCAACTCTTTCACGCTCAGCTCAACACACATGCACAGTCTGCAAATAAATGCCTCACTTTCACCCAAGAAGACGTAATTAGCATACGCAGTGAAGGACCTCCAGGCAGCTGTGTTGTCGTACTGCATGGATTATAAGTAAGCAGATACGGAGATTTTTTTGGGCACGTATTGTATCCAGTCACCACCGGAAGGTCATCAATGAAAATAGACGATGACACATCTGTGCTCTCCAGGTGGGGATTTACATGCCGAATTGATACTGTGGGGAGGCATTGATATGGAAATGCTAATCACTATCTATCTCCGTGTCAAGACAGAGTCCCTGATGAATTAGGGGGCCCAATACCATTGCAACGATGGAGGGACTTAACCCTTCTCCTCTGCATCTCTCTCTATGCATCTCGTTTGCATCTCCTCCCAATCACATTAAGGGTTCGTGCATGTGCCTTACCTGGAAGGACCCGTCCCTTCCTCTGGCTGCTTCCATCCCATTATATTATAATGTCCCACTTCCTTATGCATAACACCACATACATGAATCGAATTTCATTACAACCCTTTCCAGGGTCTCTCTCTTGCCTCCATCATATCAGTCTCCCATCGGATATGAGTCTCCAATGAGTCTCTCGAATTCCCTTAACCCATGGAGGAAATGTGGCGAAAGTCGGGATTTTCCCCGTCTCAAGAATTACGCAAACAACTCGTACGACATGCACCAAGGTAGTGTTTTCTTCAAGACGACGAAATAAAAAGTGTTGTTGCAATTGCGATATCGTCGTCCTTGTGGCTTATTCGATGGGAATAAGTGAGTGAGTGAGTTGTTGGAGTGGGTGAGTGGGGGCAGGCAGAAGAAGAAGTATAGAAGAAGAAGAAGAGTTGATAAGTTATTCATGTGTCGTGTGCGGTTGATATTCGCATCACATTATGCGGCCACTACAGTGCAGTGGTCTAGGATCTCATGAATTCACAATCATTCGCCTCTCTTCTTCTCTCTCTCCAAGTCTGCTGGGTAAGTCCATTTTCCGCTATTTTTGTTTATTTTATCCCATCTTTTCTGTCCAACTGATGGAAATGGATCCAGATCAAATTTTGCTGATTCCTCTCCTCAGCCAGTCAGTCAGTCATACGAGTGAGCGAGGCTATATTTCCAGACATAACTTTCCGGGAGACTGGTCGTCCTCGGGTATTGATGTATTTGGCTCTTTTTTTATTTGGGAGAGGCGTGTAGCGTATGGGATGACTCGAGATTTTACATTTTATACTCTTTGTCCCCATAATAGACTCCAAATGTTTTGATTGACTCTCCCCGTCTCGTATTTTATTCGGAATTAATACAAAACACGGCCAAACTTTTCCATCAGAAAAGGAACAACAAAGTCCAGTGACTCGCCTTAATTGTGAGTGAGCTACTAATATTTCCAACAGAAGCATATCATCCATCCATCCATCCCTTGACTTTAAGTTGAATTGATGAAAACGCAGTTCAAAGAATGGATGAACATTATGGAAAAGCATACACACACATTTGTCTGTCTGGCTGTTGAGTGAAATGGAAAGTTTTTAAGTTTGGAAAAGGGTTCTCTCTCTCTTCTACTTGGTTCGGCAAGTCATTGTGCTTTTGTTCTCAGACTTCTCTCACTTTTTAGAGTTAAGCCAGCGACGAAAAATCTGCACCTTTGGTCCATATTTTATTATTTCATAACTTAACTTTTTGCTCCAGAAAGTGGTTAATGGGCAATTACAACTTCTTGCTGCCGACTTTGAGGAGGAGTATGACAATATGAATGGCAAAATTATGCTCCTACTTGTACTCCTCGAGAGCTATTGTACCAAGGCTCTTGGCTCCTCTCGAAATATTTCAATTTCAACATCTCCGTCTGAGACGAAATTACATTTTTTGGGAAGATTATTGTGCAAGTCTAAAAATAATTAGGAGCATCAAACTCTGCATAGTAGAAAATTATTATTAAAAAAAACTCTCAAAAAATAGTTTATCTAATTCCAGCAAACGGCTGCTGTTGTTGCAATCGATTACATTTTCCGAAGAGATTTTGATACTTTTTCGAGAGGACAACGAACAATGAATGAATGGCGAGCATGTCATGTCTTACGTGGCAGAGTGCCAGAATTGTTTCGTAATTTGGTTGTATTGAAGTTTGAACATGATACTTTGGTGCGTCGGAATGCGTGTGAAGAGGAGGCGGAGGATGGAGTGTCTGCGGTGGAGGGACAATGGACAGGGATTGATGAGGAGTGAAATGGGTGAAATTGGATCAGGGCCTGAAACGGATCCGGATTTTGGGAGAAAAGGGTTGAATTCATGGAAACATTGCTGCCTGATGTGCTTACTCTAATCCCCTGCACAAATAAGTGAAGCCGTAATAATATAATCGGGTTGTCACAAGTCACACGCTCACAACACACACCTTTCCTCTTCTCCGTAGCAAAGAGGAGTCATCAGATCGGATTACATGTTTTTTACCCAAAATACACCTTTTTCATACACACCAAACCGGTTGACAGGCTGGATTTTTTGCTTATTTTTTATCCATACATTACTAATTGACGTACAAAACTCTAATCCATTTTTACCATTTTTGTTGGTTTTGTGTAACTGAGAGGGTGAATGAATCGTGTAGAAAGCCCCTGCATGGTTTTTATGTAGCGAGATTATTATACATACGTGCATGGTTGTTAGACTAACTGGTTGGCATTTCGCAATGCAAAGTTTTCTTTCACTCGCAACCCTCCAAGCTAAATAGCAAGGCCCCATTGTGTGTAACTTGTTTCCTGATTGCGAAATCTACACTTGATGCAGTAGACAAGTTGTCGTCGGATGGATGGAAACTTTTTTAGCATATTACGAGTAAAAATAGATCCAACCGGTGGTGCATTGGTTGAAACTGCTGGCGGGGGCGACATGATACGTTTTCTGTTTCTCAGCCAATTTGTCCTCAAGCTTGCAGATTGTTGTTGTGAGACAGTGTAAAATAACATCATAAGTCATCACACAAACTTTGATTGCGTTGAGATCTGGATATGAAATAACGCACCAAACAAGAGCACTTTGTTGGGAACTCGTTGCTTCCACTTTATTCAAGTTTAATAATGCTCTGAGCATATTGCGCTCTTGGAAATGAAGAGAAAATCGTGCAAAAACTTTTGCCCGTTGCGTTATACTCTCAACTTGAGGAGGAAGAACGATTGGGAAGAAGAAGAAGAGGCGTTGAGAGTTAGTGGTTTGCCTGCACTCCTTCTTGTGAGAATACGGTAGGAAGTTGCTGAGCTTCTTCTTCTTCTTGGAAAGTATTCTGCTAGTAGTAGCAGCCGTATAGTAGTGCAGATTGAGGAAAAAGAGCACATTGGCCCATAATTTAGTTGCACAAAGTTGGCAGATTTAATGTCGTACCTGTTGCGACTCATCTTTCCATATTCCTTACCTGCCTCAACGCTTTCTCTGCTCATCCTTCTCTGCGACCTTTGACCCTTTCCGAGGTAAAGA